GGACAGGCTCCAGCCCTACACCACACTGACAGAACTCACTGAGCTGAAACCGTAGGAACTGGACAGCTGAAGGCCACCCAGCAAGCATTTCTGGACAGTCTGTGCCTGCGGATTAGCAGACATGATGTTTTTCCAAACCAAATACATTTTATTAGCTGTGGAGGGAGGGTGGGCTATCACAGGACAGCAGCGCAGAGCCGCTGCCCGGCTCTCCTCCTCGCTGGGCACTTCTGGACCAGCTTTCTGGGGTTCCACAGAGGATGCCAAGGGCTATTTCACTCTTGTCCTCCTTAACCCAACTTTGCTGAGAAAGAGGACTGCGTGTTGAGGCTGAGAAGGCCGCGGCCTTCTGAGAGAGGCAGCCTGTGAGTCAGGAGCGGGGCTGCCAGGGACAGGCAGGGTTGTGCGTCAAGACAGATGTCCTGCAGAACTGCTGCGAGGGTGAGGAATCAAGTGGGTGGGGAGGACCGTTAGAGCTCCAGGGGTGGACTCCGTTAAGTGGTGCAGAGGGCGACATTTGGGGCACTGTATAAACTGTCACTTAATCTCTCACCTCAACATAGAGAGGTCAGACTCCTCGGGAAATTCAGACTGGGTGTATTTTGACAGAGGGCTAAGTAGGTAGAAAAAAGGACGTGTTTCATTCTTTAACCATGAAAATTAGTTTTTATTTTATTTTATTTTTTCACAATACTGGAAATTGAATGCGGGGATGCTCTCTCTACCAGTGAACCATATCTCCAGCCCTTTTATTTTGACCAGGGTCTCACTAAGTTTCCCAGGCTGGGCTGGACCTCTCAGTTCTCCTGACTCAGCTTCCCAAGTAGCTGAGATTGCTGGGGTGTGCGAGCACACCTGGTTAGTTTATTTTAAAACAACAAATGACAAAATCTATTTCCTTTCTAAATCTTACTTTAATGAAGTCCTGGATATAACCTTTCATAGGAAATGAATTTAAAATGTACATTCTTTTTTTTTTTTTGGTACTGAGGATTGAACCCAGGGGTGCTTAACCTCTGAGCCACATCCCCAGCCCTTTTATATTTTATCTAGAGACAGGGTTTTGCTGAGTTGCTAAGGGCCTCACTAAGTTGCTGAGGCTGGCTTTGAACTTGTGATCCTTCTGCAACAGCCTCCTGAGCTGCTGGGATTAAAATGTGTATTCTAATTTTTAAGAGTTACATGTGAAAATTTAAACCCTCTCCTGGGAATGACTTCCTCTGAACTAACTGTAAGAACAACACAGTTTTGAACTTGTTCATTTTCTAAGTGCAAAGGTACAATAAAAATCCATCTGAAGATGGAGAAGACCTACTTATAACATCAAACGGTTCAAAACAAAAATTCCACAAAACCTAGAGAGTAAGAGATGTCTAAAACTCAGGCATGAAAAATACATCAGCCATCGCTCTAAGATGGCAGAAGTAAAACTCAGCAACGAGAAGACAGACACATGCTCTTGGTTAGGGGACAGAAAGCCTCAACCTCACAGGGATGCCAGGTCTCCCAAAATTCATCTGTGCTCCTAACAGGACTCATTCCTAAATAACATTAGGGGTCTTTCCTGAGGCCAAACTGCTTCCCAAAGTTTACTAAGATAAAATAAGCAATAATATGTACACACATACACATAGATAAATTGAAAATTCACTAAACTAAAACCAGAGGAGAGCCAAGAAGGAACTAGCCTTAATTCACAGTAAACACATTAGACTCTACCACTTAAACAAAATGGTACTGGGGCATGAATACCCAGCAGACAAAGAGCCACAAAGGAAGACAAGATAAACCCCTGCATTCAGACCTAGCACATGACCAAAGGTGCATCCTGAGCCTGGGGCAGAGGGTGCTTGTGTCCTGTAGCCCACTCAGGAGGATGGCGCTTCGTCCTGGAGAGTGGGGAGCTGGCCCTACAACACAAATCACAATGCCAGACCACAGGTTGAAAGCACTGTCAACCAGATCCCCTGAAGCCCTAAACTCTAAGACAAGTTGTGAGATACTTAGGGGACTTTAATTCCTAACTATATGTGAAATGATAAGAACTAGTGTCAATTTTGAGGTGTAATGACTATGTTTTTAGATATGCACTGAATGGAAGGGTCTATGGAGATAACAGTTCTCCAATTTCTCTTTTAAAGTATTTAAATAACAAAAAATAAATAAAAAATATAAACAAAGTATTTTAAAAACTATACTTTTAACAAAATCTAATGCTCGTCATAAGTAGCAAATATCATTTTAAAGCTACATCAATAATCCTGTATACGAGGATTGAATTACATACTGTAACCCAAATAAGTACAGTGAAGAAAATTTCTTTGAATAATAAGGAATCACAGCTCTGCACCTTGAATTCTTAAAAAATGAACAACTTGAATTTCATTTTCTGAGACTGCATAGAATCTGGAAATTACTACACCAAGATGGAATTGAGAAGAGAGGAACACTGTTGGAAATCACTGCAGAGAAAGCAACTTCCCACATGCTGTGATTCTCAAAGTAGAGTCCACAGAACCCCGGTGGGGAAGAGGGGGAACTGAGACCCATTCAGGGCTCTGTTAGGTCCGAACCATTTTCTTAAAAATGTTCCATGGCATTAATTGTTTCCTCTCATGCTCAGAAGAGTGCCCGCGTGTCATGCGGAGGCTGCATGACACCTGATGGCACTAGGTCTCTAACACTCATTGGGCCAAGTTCATGTATTTTCAGAGATTAACATGGTTTCTCTTTTCCTCTCCTTGCTTTTGCTATCTTTGGTTATACCTGATATATTAGCCAAAAAAAAAAAAAAAAATCACTATTTTAAAAACCTGATATTTTCCTTTGTGTGTACATGGAAAGATAACAAAAAACAAGTTTATTTAGTTAGTTTTTTCAGCAGTAACTTTTTTTTTTTTTTTTTTTTTTTTTTTTTAGGGATTTAACTCAAGGGCACTTAACACTGAGCCCTTTGCATTTTTTGAGACAGGGTCTCGCTAACTTGCTTGGGGCCTTGCTAAATTGCAGAGGCTGGTCTTGAACTCGCATTTTTCCTGCCTCAGCTTAGAGGTGTGCACCACTGTGCCCAACTATAGCTCTAGACTTCATAATAGTTCAGATTATTTTGGAATTCACCAATATTCTACTTAAAAACTAAACTTATTTAAATTGTATCTTCTTAAGTTTAAGAATGGATTTCTGGCTTTAGAAAGGAGGGTTAATCTTTGCTTTCTTGTTCCCAGCTTTTTCACCAGAAAGAGGGAACACAACACATGGGAGGGTCCTGTGATTCCCAGGGTGGAGGCCTCTACTCCAGAAAGTGGCTAGACCATAGATGAAAGCCAACACGGGAGGAAGTGGAGTCTGTAATTCACCTTTCTGGATCTTATGCAACAGAAGCCTTCATGGATTTCAACCGAGTCTAAATAAAAGGGAACCAAATGGGCTGGGGCTGTGGCTCAGTGGCAGAGCGCTTGCCTAGCATGTGTGAGGCACTGGGTTCGATCCTCAGCACCACATAAAAATAAATAAAATAAAGGAGTTCTGCCCATCTACAACTACAAGAAATTTAAAAAGAAAAAAAAAAAAAAGGTGAAACCAAATGATCCCAAAGTATGTGCTAGATGTGAGCCATGAACTTCCCGCCGACAGAACTGTGGCCTGCCTGACGCACAGCCTCACACCTGGCTGGCCCTCCCATATGGCTCACAGTGACTGGTCTGCTCTGATGGGACAGAAGCAGCAGTGGTGACTGGTGACACTGGGAGTGCCCCCTGCATTCCTCAGCGCCCCACCCTCCTGGGCAGAGCTGACCTTTTAGACTGTCACCCTTGAGAGCACTTGTCAAAGTCCTGACAAAAGGAAAGCTCACAAAGGCTCTTCTGCTCGTGACCCAGGCATGGCTGACGGCAGAGGCACCCACACGGTCTGCAGCGGGCTTTTCCCCCTTCATGGAAACATACTGAAGAACGACCAGCAGACGATGACCCACTCACACTTGGGTCTTTGGCACATACTTTCACAAAAACTAGCAAAGTGACTGGATCACCTTAAGGAAAACAAATGACAAAAATCTGTGGCTCATGATACGTTGGAGCTTTTGAGCAGAAATTAGGATTTTGGAAAATCTGTGAAGACCAACATGAGCTTGGCAGCTTTCCAACATGCAAAGGCATTTCTGATGACACTGGCGGTGGCAGTAATGATTTTAAGTTTTCATGCTGCACGATGAATTATTTCTGTTTGGAGGATCTGCGTAACCAGTCAATGAATCAAGACTTTCCAAATGAACCCTGTGCAACACACCAGTGGGTTTTCATTTAACGTCACACGAAAGGCTCACTGTATAACTTCAGATTCCACACGGCCACCAATCTCTTAAAAAATTACCATTTTTCAAGTTTTGGTGAAGCATCAAAGCAAAATATTCACAAAACCACCGGAGATGGCTATTACAGTGTTCCCGCCTTTCCCACCACAAACCTGTGTGAGGCTGAATTTTCTTTAAATACTTCACCGAGGACAACATGTCCCACCAGATGTAGACGTAATAAACTAGTTGTTACAAAAATGTGAAGACTGCCATTTCTGCCAAACAACTTTTGATTTGGAAAATATCATGCTTTTTCATAAAAATATGGCATTTATGTTAACACAGTCAATTCATTATTTTTTTTAATTAAGTTTTTGTGTTCCTTTTGTGGAACCTGGGATCAAATGCAGGGCCTTGTACCCGCATGCTAGGCAAGTGCTCTACCACCTACTACAGACTAGAAAATATTTTTAAAATGTTAATTTCAAATATGATATAGATAAATAGATTGACTGATAGATTGATCCATAGATAGAACCCATATTTTAAAAGGCTCTATGGGATCATCAATAATTTTTAGGAGTGTAAAAAGAGTTCTGAGATCAAAATGCTTGCACAATGCTGTTGTCTAACATCCCCAATGCATGGAAGCATTCTAAGTAAAGGAAAAATGGAATGGACAGAAGGCTAAATGGACATTACTTACAGCAAAAAGGCCTCGTTGATGGCTTCAAAGAGCTCGGGCCAGAGGACCTCCTGAGGCCCTTGGCCATGGTAGGTGAGCAGGGCCTCCACCAGGGGTTGACAATCAGGCAGAGTAACAAGAGGGACACAGATGCGTGACAGGGACATCAAACGCTCAGGAGCCATCCTGTGGAAGAAGTAGAATAGGAAATACCCAAATCTGAGAGCCACAAATATTAAAAAGGTCTAAAATCCTGATGTGAAGAGATGGATGGCAGGCCCCTGTGCTGGCCTAACAGGGAAGACCTCATAATCAGGACTCCAGGAAGGAGCCCTTGGGCTGCCATCCTGTTTCAGTGTCACCAAGACTTTACCTGGGACCACATCTATGGTCCCCTCCAGCTCACCAGGCTCCAGGGGGACCCTGAGTTCCTGTTCCAAGTGTCCTTCCCAACGCTGCCTCCATGGACTGGCCCTGAACCCTCCCTCCATCCTGGTCCTGGCCAGATGACCACCTGTGCCTGGCTATGCAGCTGTCTCCTGTCTCCCTGCTTCTGCCCTTCCTCCCATTGCTTATCATTAGAAGGTTCCAGCAGCTCTCCAAAACTTCAGACCACGTGACCGTCTGCTCCAGGCCTTGCAGCGGCCTGTCCCCTTGGTGAACAAGTGAAGTCTCTTGCGGGCCACACTGCTTCCTGTGACGGGCCTCCTTCTGTTCCATGGGCTCCACCTCCTTCCACTCTTCCCCATGTCTAAAGCTGCTCTGAATGCTGAGCAAGGCCCGCTGCTCAGCCTGTCTGTGAGCACAGCCAGCGCCCTCGCTGCTGGGAGGTCTAGATTCAACCCGGCCTTGGCAGTCTTCCCTGGCACGCCCTCCACGCACTGGCCATCATGTGTGGCAATCTGAATTGAAATTAAATAAAACAAAACATCCAGTGCCTCCAAGGTACTTGGCACCTTTCAAGTGCTCGCAGGGTACGTGAGGCCAGCGGATCCAGGATTGGACAGTGCACCTCACAGGCATAGATGAAACAGCAGACAGCACCGCTGACCCTCAGAGCTGCAGGTCCCTCTCACCTACACAGGGGTGCTCCACTAAGCTACATCCCAGCCCATTTTGTTTTTGAGACAGGGTCTTGCTAAGTTGCCCAGGCTGTCTTTGAAATTGGTTATCCTTCTGCCTCAGCTTCCCGAGTCACTGGGATTACAGGTATGCGTCACTGTACCCTGTAACTTTCGTTCTCTTTTATAACTAAGTTTTTACTCTTATCAAATTTAGAGATGCAACTAAATCATCTGTCAAACAGTTCTTGGAAATTATGGAAAACAGAGGCATCTCGCTCCCTCATCTCCGGGTAACACTTCCAACCCTCACTCCTCACGTGTTCCATGCAAAGGCTCACCTCAGTGGGACAGCCACCAGATGACACAGAGAAAAGAACCCAGGATGCTGCCACTGGGGACACAGGCAGACACACACAGCCAATGTGGAGCATAATCGGCCCGGCCTGCCACCTCTCCTGATCAGTCATCAACTGTTTGTACAGGGCCAATTCCACTTTGCTGTGTATCTGTACTGAAATGAATACACAGAAAGCTGACGGTTCTGTGTAGACCAGACTGCCACATGGCAGTTAAATGGGTGAACCAGACCTATATGACTCAAATACAAAAATCTCAAAAAATAATAACGAATGAAGAAAGCAAGCTGCAGAAAGATAAGCACAAGGTGACGTTACTCTTGTAAAGCCTTGAGATACCCCATACAACACATCTAAGTGTCCCCAACATGGCCGGAGGAGTCTCCACCCACTTCTGAGGCATGTCTAATCCTGGGAACGGGAAGAAAAAAGAAGATGGGGCAAAGACACTTTGACTTTAATTGAAACATTTTATTTTCTTAAAAATATCAATTATACTTATTACTAAAATGTTCGCATTGTAAGATTTGGACAATGGGTACAACACAGATTTTCTGTATGTCAAAGTATCTCACAATTAAATGTTTAAAAACTAAAATACAAGGTTACCAGGTAAAATATGAAAATGAAAAGAGACAATTTGTAATAAAGGAGCTAATTCCCACCTCATGTTCTTATCCCCAAAAGAGCAAAGCAGTGTATGAAAACCTAATCATCTGTAATCAGGCTTAGATTGCTTAATATTTCCCCCGTCTCTGGAGTACTTTTTCCCTTTATTTATATCTTTCTGAGCTCTTCCCACTATTTATTTGGTTATATTGGTCTCTAAAGAGTTAAGTTATTTGTGCTTTTCATTTTATCAGTCAAATCAATGGAACAATTTCTCAGGTGTGTTCAAATGAAGAATCTGAGTACTTGCATGTAAACATACTAAAGGCAAAAAATCAAAACATCTTACTAGTTAACAGGATATTGTTCTGATCTACCCAGTAAAAGGAAACTGAGAGCATCGATGATAAATCAATTGCGCCACGTAAATTTAACCAAATATGAGTCCAACAAATCACGAGGAACTGCCTGGTCTTACACTCTGCGGTAGCTTGTTCCCACAAAGCTCCATATTTGGGACATGTGCACCAAGAGATGGCACAAAACAGAAGTGGGACCGTCACGGTTATTCCAAGCATGCCAGGAACCAGGAGGCTGGGTATTCTTACACATAGCCCATGAACTGTGGCCTGTGAACTTGTTCACCTGATTTGGGTGAACACCAGAATCAGACCCAACTCCAGATGCACTTCTGAGAGGCTGTCAGGGTGACAGGATCAACTGCCAAACTCTTCAATGGGTTCCTCAACTGAACAACTGGTTCCTGTCGTGGGGATCAAACTGCAGAGAGAGAAATGTGGGCTTCTATACCAGCCACCAACCAGTTATTGGTTTTTTGGAAATAGCAAGCACCTGTTCCAGGTCCAAACTCCCCTAACCACCACTAGGAGAGTGGGCTAGGCACTGCTGGCTGATACGTTCGTGATGGCTGAAAAGTGTCCATCGGTGCCAGACTGCGCCTCATAATTATCTCTTTGTTGAAGACGCCTGCTTTTCAGAAGCACATGGACAAATTCCTTGGCATGAAGCTAGGTCCAGGGAAGGAGGTCTGTGCTGGCACCTCTGTCAGCCAACAGCAGCACGGGGGAAATGGTGATTAGGTTATTCCCAGTGAATGCAAATCTGTGATGTAATCAGAATTCCTAACTGGATTTACTAAGACCAGGCTGAGTCTGTGCTAGCAGAACATCTCCCAACATGAATTTACCCTATGAATCACCCTCCTTTTATCAGAGAAGACATTCAGCATTTGTTTTTTTTGGGATTGGCTAACTTCATTTAGCTAACTTCACGTATTCTCCAACTCCATCCATTTACCTGCAAATGCCATGATTTTATTCTCTTTTATTGCTGAGTAATATTCTGTTGGGTATATATACCACATTTTCTTCATCCATTCATCTACTGAAGGACACTTAGGTTGGTTCCACAGTTTTGCTACTGTGAATTGTGCTGCAATAAACATTGATGTGGCTGTGTCCCTGTAGTATGCTGTTTTTAAGTCCTTTGGGTATAGACTGAGAAGAGGGATAGCTAGGTCAAAAGGTGGTTGCATTCCCAATTTTCCAAGGAATCTCCATACTGCTTTCCAGATTGGCTGCACCAATTTGCAGTCCAACCAGCAGTGTATAAGCATGCCTTTTCCCCCACATCCCCACCAACACTTATTGTTGTTTGTATTCTTAATAGCTGCATTCTGACTGGAGTGAGATGAAATCTTAGAGTAGTTTTGATTGGCATTTCTCTAATTGCTAAAGATGTTGAACATTTTTTCATATATTTGTTGGTTGATGGTACATCACCTTCTGAGATGTGTCTGTTCATTTCCATGGCCCATTTATTGATTGGGTTATTTGTTTTTTGGGGCTTAGCTTTTTGAGTTCTTTATATACCCTAGAGATTAGTGTTCTATCTTATGTGCAAGTGGTAAAGATTTGTTACCAAGATGTAGGCTCTCTATTCACCTTACTGATTGTTTCTTTTGCTGAGAAGAAACTTTTAGTTTGAATCCATCCCACTTATTAATTCTTGATTTTAATTCTTACACTACAAGAGTCTTATTAAGGAAATTGGGGCCTAATTCGATATGACAGAGATTTGGGCCTACTTTTACTTCTATTAGACCCAAGGTCTCTAGTTTAATTCATAGGTTCTGGATCTACTTTGAGTTGAGATTTGTGCCTGGTGAGAGATAGGGGTTTAATTTCATTTTGTTGCATATGGATTCCCAGTTTTCCCAGCACCATTTGTTGAAGAGGCTATCTTTTCTCAAAGTTATGCTTTAGGTGCCTTTGTCTAATTAATATAACTATTATTATGTGGGTTAGTCTCTGTGTCCTCTATTCTGTACCAATGGTCTACTTGTCTATTTTGGTGCCAAAACCATGCTGTTTTTGTTACTATTGCTCTGTAGTATGGTTTAAGATCTGGTATAGTGATACCACCTGTTTCACTCTTCCTGCTGACTGCTTTAGCTATTCTGGGTCTCTTATTTTTGCAGATGAATTTCATGACTGCTTTTTCTATTTCTATGAGGTATGTCATTGGGATTTTGATTGGAATTGCATTAAATCTGTATAGTGCTTTTGGGAGTACGGTCATTTTGACAATATTAATTCTGCCTATCCAAGAATAAAGGAGATCTTTCCATCTTCTAAAAATCTTCTTTAATTTCTTTCTTTAGGGTTCTGTAGTTTTTGTTGTAGAGGTCTTTCTCCTCTTTTGTTAGATTGATTCCCAAGTATTTAGAAAAATTTTGGGGGGGCTTCTGTAAATGGGGTAGTTTTCCTCATTTCTTTTTCAGAGGATTTGTCACTGATATACAGAAATGCCTTTGATTTATGAGTGTTGATTTTGTATCCTGCTATTTTGCTGAATTCATTTACGAGTTCTAGAAGTTTTCTGGTGAAATTTTTGGGTCTTCTAGGTACTGAATCATATGGTTGGCAAATAGTGCTAATTTGAGTTCTTCTTTTCCTATCTGTACCCCTTTAATTTCTTTCATCTGTCTAATTGCTCTGGCCAGTGTTTCAAGAACTACATTAAATATAAGTGGTGAAAGAGGGCATCCCTGTCTTGGTCTAGTTTTTAGAGGGAATGCTTTCAATTTTTCTCCATTTAGAATGATATTGGCCTAGGGCTTAGCCTAGATAGCTTT